CATTATATTATAGAACTGGTCCTGTGTCCTCTTTTTCTCTCTTTACTAGCTCATTCTTGACAATAACTAAGTCTGCCATCACAGCTTCCACTGTAGGGAACAGGGAAAAACCCAAACTTCTGATCAATTGCCCTCAGGCTGCCAGCTCACCATGACCAGAGACAGTCCTTACCAATGAGCTAATTTTTCTTTTTCAACATTTACTATTTTTTATTGGAAAGGCATATTTACAGAGAAGAGAGACAGAAAGATTTTCTATCTGCTGGTTCACTTCCTAAATGGCTGCAATGGTCAGGAGCCAGAAGCCTCTTCTGGGTCTCCCACATGGATAGGATACAAGGTCCCAAGACACTGAGCCACCCTCTGCTGCTTTCTCAAGCCACAAGCAGGGAGCTGGATGGGAAGTGGAGTGATCAGGGCACAAACATCCATCTAGGATCCCAGGGTATTGCAAGGTGAGGATTACCAACTGAGCCATAGCACCGGGCCCATCAATGATCTCTTGTTGGCTAAGTCCTTGGGTTTCATATACCTGATTAAACAGCCTCAATGTACACATTCGTCACCTAACTTCCACCCCATTTTCTCACTTTTTAGCTAACTTTCCTGGTTGCTCCTTTCAGAACATTCTCCTCATTGACTTTATCTTCATCACCTCTAGATGTTGAGAATTTTGTGGTTTAGTCCTAAAGTTCCTTCCCTTGCTTATAATTACCCTCCAGGTGTTCTCATTCATGTGTGCGTACATGAAACACCACCTGTTTGTAGGTAACCTGTATGCCTTACCCAAGCCTGTCCCTTGAACCCCAAACTACACATCCAACTGACCACCCTACAGTCCATTTGGAAATATGATACACATCTCAATTTCAAAGTCCCAATCTCTCCCATAACCGGTTTCCTCCTAGCTTTCATCTTCATAGCAATTCAAACAAATTTCTGATTGTTTCCCATTTCCACACTTAACTTTTTTTGGGGGAATGGGGGATGTTTTATTTTTATTGGAAAGTCAGATACACAGAGAGGAAGAGAGACAGAGAGGAAGATCTTCCATCCACTGATTCACTCCCCAAGTAGCCACAATGGCCAGACTTGTGTTGATCGAAGGCCAGGAGCCAGGAGCCTCTTCCGGGTCTCCGATGTGGGTGCAGAGTCCCAAGGCTTTAGGCTGTCCTGGACTGCTTTCCAGGCCACAGGCAGGGAGCTGGATGGGAAGCAGGGCCGCTGTGATTAGATCTTACGGTATGCAAAGCGACCCCCGTCGGGCCCTATCACACTTAACTTCTTTTTTTTTTTTTTAAAGATTTATTTTTATTATGTTTTTATTGGAAAGGCGGATATACAGAGAGGAGGAGAGACAGAGAGGAAGATCTTCCATCCGATGATTCACTCCCCAAGTGAGCGCAACGGCCGATGCTATGCCGATCCGAAGCCAGGAGCCTCTTCCGGGTCTCCCACGCGGGTGCAGGTTCCCAAAGCTTTGGGCCGTCCTCAGCTTTCCCAGGCCACAGGCAGGGAGCTGGAAGGGAAGTGGGGCTGCCGGGATTAGAACCGGCGCCCATATGGGATCCCGGGCGTGCTAGGTGAGGACCTTAACCACTTGCGCCACCGCGCCGGGCTCCCACACTTAACTTCTACATTCCTTTTCCTCAACTCAAATCTGTATCCACTCGACTCAGAAGCTCCCAGTTCCTGGTTTCAGCTTGGTCCAATCTGAGCCGTTGCAGACATTAGGGGAATGAACAAGTAGATGGAAGATTCTCTCACTTCTTCCTCCTTTTCTTCTAAGTTTACCTTTCAATTACGTTGTATATACACACACGTAAAAACTCTAGATCAAAACCAACACATCTTGGATTTGTAGATAAAAGGTGTGCATTCAACTTGTGTATGCCTGATGCAAAGTGGGGACTGAGTTAATAAGATTTCTTACTCCTTTTGTCCATTCTCCCTTCATTTCTTTTTTTTTTTAAGATTTATTTTATTGTTATGTGAAAGGCAAAACTACAAAGAAGAGAGACAGAGGTCTTCCATCTACTGGTTCACTTATCAAATGACCAATCCAAAGCTAGGAGCTATTTCCTGATCTCACACATAAGCACAGGTGCCCAAGGGCTTGAGCCATCCTCCACTGCGAAATGGAGCAGCCAGGGCACAAACTGTCCCACATATGGAATGTTGGAACAATAGGCAGAGGATTAGCCTATACCACTAAGGTGCTGGCCCCACTCTCTTCATTATTATCCACCATCATTAATCAAACCTTATTACTCTGATAGTATTGTAGAAGGCAGAAACTTACTGAGCAAGGAGCTCCAGACAGTACAACAGGCTTTACTGTCTGTATATTCTCACTGTGCTCCAGCTATTATTTGACACGACATCCTTCTGTATCCTCTGCCATGCCCTAGTTCCTCAAAGTATGTAGCAACTTCTCCTGCCTTAGAGGATTTGCATAAACGTTTTCCTCATCCAGACTGCAGAAAAAGTGAGACAATAAAATAGCACTATGAAGAAACAGAGCTGGGCCTGGCAGCATGGCCTAGCGGCTAAAGTCCTCGCCTTGCATGCCCCAGGATCCCATATGGGCGTCGGTTCTAATCCAGGCAGCTCCACTTCCCATCCCGCTCCCTGCCTGTGGCCTGGGAGAGCAGTCGAGGACAGTCCAAAACTTTGGGACCCTGCACCCGTTTGGGAGACCTGGAAGAAGTTCCTGGATCCTGGCTTCAGATTGGCATAGCATGGGCTGTTGCGCTCACTTGGGGAGTGAATCATTGGATGGAAGATCTTCCTCTCTGTCACTCTTCCTCTCTGTGTATCTGACTTTCCAATAAATAAATAAATCTTAAAAAAAAATAGCACTATGAAGAAACAGAGCTGAGAACCCAACAGCCTCTGTTTCTGTAAGTCAGAACTGGGAGGTCTGACTAAACTTGATTTCCTGTCTTTGAATATCCATGAAATCAAATAATCTCCTTGAAATGAGTGTCTGTCCTTGACCACCATAAATCTCCGGTTGATTATCTTTCTCCTTATGCTATTACGTGCTTGACCTTTATTCCACCTGAGCTTTCTATCTCACCTCATTTCCCTTCACATGTACCTACTCAGTTCCACAGTTAGCTCCCAAGCCAACTGCGGGTAGAATGGGTGTCCAACTCTGCCATCCTCACATGCTCCAAAAAGCACTGGGAAGGAAAGCCAACCTCCTAATGAGATAAAAATCTTGGAACATAAAAGGAAACTAACATCTTCATTTATACCTGTGAACGCAAATGAACGCACAGAAAATATCATATGGCTGCTTAAGGGTAGCTAGTAACAATAATATTTTAAAGTGATCTTATGGTCCTGTTAGGTCAGGCACCTAAAACAATGCTTGAAAGGTATGAGGGAATAATATATATAAAGTTCGTCGAAATCAGAAAAAAATTTTGGTGCAATAAAATTGAAATCTATGCGTAGACATGACTTTGAAAGTACATGGAAAATACATACATACTGCAAAAACTGCATGGATTTCAATATTTGGCACCAAAATAAATTCACCTTTTAATTCTACTTTCCGCTTTCAGGGAGTATGATTTGTCCACTTTTCCACTTATTTATTTTTCCATTTATTTATTTGTTTGCTTTTTAAAAAGTTTATTTATTTTTATTTGAAAGGTATATTTACAAAGAGAACAAGAGAGAAAGGTCTTCAATTTGCTGGTTTATTCTCGAAATGATGGCAACAGCCAGAGCTGAGATGATCCAGAGCTGGGAGCCAGGAGCCTCCTCCGGGTCTCGCATGTGGGTGCAGGGGTCCCAGGACTTTGGGCCATCCTGGCTACACGCAGAGATTGAAAGTAAAGCAGCCAGGACATAAACCGGTATCATATTGGATGCTGGTACCATTGGGTGGAGGATTAGCCTGCTGAGCCAAGGCACCTGCCCCATAACTGATTTATTTATCTGAAATCTGGAGTTACAAAAAGAGAGAGACAGATTGTCTATCCACTGGTCCACTCCCCAAATGGCCACAATGAAGCTGCACTAATCTGAAGGCAGGTGTCAGGAGCTTCTTTGAGGCTGGCTTCAGGGGCCTAAGCACATGAACCATCTTCCACTACTTTTCCAGGCACATTAGCAAGGCACTGGATTGGAAGTAAAGCAGCCAGGACTCAAACCAACACCCATATGAGGGCCGAGGCATGGAGGAAGGAGGGTAGGACAAACGCTTCCGTTTTTTTCTCTTTTCCTGCTATCTGTCGGAGGTGGTGAAGCAGGGAAGAGGTGGCTGTTCCTTGCTTTCAAACTATATTAGCACCCAAGGAAACGGGACAGTCATTTGATATCATCTTAACAGACCCCAATGTGGGGAAGAATATTTCAAGGGTATTATTTGAGTGGTCTTGATAATCCCAATAGACCTTTTTAAGATCTATTGACTGACAAAGTCCACCTTACTGCATCCACACACCCAAAAACTTGCTGCAAAGCTTGGCCAGGAGACCAACCTTTTCTGATTTCCATCCAACAAGACATTCTATGTCTCTGCTGTCCTCCACGTGCATGTGGGCATGTTGTCTACTACACAAGCATCAGTAACTGAGGAGGCCCAGTCCTGATGAATGCACTCCAAGGACAGACTACATAGCCTGGGATTTTCCCTACAGCTGGAGTTTGAGGTCAGCAGACTAATTGGGCAGTCCCCCACGAAATCTCACCTGGGGTAACCCTACAACTGATTTGTGTGCACCAGCCAGTGTGGGGTCTGGTTCAGTTTGTCACTTGTACTAGCCTGAGCACATGCCAGTGAATAGAGTTGCCTGGTCAGTTCCACTCCCAGCCCCATCTCCCATGTCAAGCAATGGGTGCTGTGGCCACAAACTTAGCTCTTATGCACACCAGTGGGAACTTCAGGCATCCGAAGTGCTGTCAACCACTGCAACAAGTGTTCATACCATGTTTTCATTTTATAAACAAAAACTAGTAAATAAGAGGAAGACAACACTCACTTTCTTTCTTTTTCTAGAAGAATTTTTTGTGGGGTCAGGCTTCTCAAATTCTGCTGACTTTGCCTCTTCTTTCTCCTCTTCCTCATCAGGTATCAGAGAGTATCTGGTCCCACCAGGCTGCATGAAACAATCTTTTGCAAAATGACCTGCAGAAGAGAAGTACAACAGGTGGAAGGAATGGAAGTTGTTCTCTCCCTAGATACCTGGGAAAGGGCTCACGGTTCCTAACATTTACATCACAAAGTTCACTAAGGGCAGCTTTTGAGCAGAGCACATTTTCCATCACCTCACAAGCACACCACTCACACACAGCCACCCTAGCAGTGGGTCGTGGGGCTGGGCGCTGAACAGGGGATTGCAAACGGCGGACAATAAGAGAATGAAGCCTTGTGCTGTATTCCATTGGCAATGGGGCCTATTAAGTAATTATTAATTAATATATTTTAATTGGAAAATCCGAGTTAATCAGAGAGAGAGAAAGAGAGAAAACAAAAGAGAGAGAAAGAGATCTTTCATCCACTGGCTCATTTCCCAGACAACTGCATTGGCCAGTGTTGGGCTGGTCTGAAGCCTGGAGCCAAGAGCTTCTCCAAGTCTCCCACATGTGAACAGGAGCCCAAGAACTTGAGCCATCCTCTACTGCTTTGTTAGGCCATAAGCAGGGAGCTGGATGGGAAGTAGAGCAGATGGGACATGAACCAGCACTCATATGAGATGCTGATGCCACATGCAGAAGCTAAGCTTGCTATACTTCCATGCTAGCCCCCCAATTTATTATTTATTTATTCATTATTATTTTTTTTATTGGAAAGGTAGAGTTACACAAAGAAGGAGAGACTAGAAGAGTAATTTTTTTTTTTTTAAGATTTTATTTTATTTTTATTGGAAAGGCGGATATACAGAGAGGAAAGACAGAGAGGAAGATCTTCCGTCCAATGATTCACTCCCCAAGTGAGCGCAATGGCCGATGCTATGCTGGTCTGAAGCCAGGAGCCTTTTCCGGGTCTTCTACACTGGTACAGGGTCCCAAAGCCTTGGGCCGTCCTCGACTGCCTTCCCGGGCCACAGGCAGGGAGCTGGATGGGAAGCGGGGCTGCCGGGATCAGAACTGGCACCCATATGGGATCCCGGGCATGTAAGGTGAGGACCTTAACCACTGCGCCACCGCGCCGGGCCCAGAGAGTAATTTCTTTTTAAGAGAGTAAGCTTTACACACCAATTTTCAGTTCCTTCCAGATAACAAAAGTGGCTGTGGAGCTGAGGGAGCTGAGCAGCAGGCCATGAGCTAAAGGAAGACAGGTGGCAGGAAGTGGGCACTTCACATTGAAGTTAACACACACAAGACAGCCATAGCCACCCAGGTACTGAACATCCAGATTGTAAGGTCTGGAAAGGCCCTTGGATTTCATCACATCCAGCATTCTGCATGTACCCAGACAGAGTTGAGGTGGTTACAAATCACATAAACAGTCACCGAGCTAAACTTTATCCCGGGTTTCAGGCCTCTGTCCTGCATTCTCTGTTGTATCAAAACCAACTTACCAGGCTGGGTACAATAGCATAGCGGTTAAAGTCCTCACCTTGAAGGTGCCAAAATCCCATATGGGTGCCGGTTCTAATCCCAACACCCCCGCTTCCCATCCAGCTCCCTGCCTATGGTCTGGGAAAGTAGCTGAGGACAGCCCAAAGCTTTGGGACCCTCCATCCGCCTGGGAGACCCAGAAGAAGCTCCTGGCTCCTGGCTCCGGAGTGGCTCAGCTCTAGCCACTGTGGCTACATGGTGAATGAACCATCGGACAGATCTTCCTCTCTGTCGCTCTTCCTCTCTGTTTATCTGCTTTCCAATAAAAATAAATATATCTTGGGCCAGGCGCAGTGGCGCAAGTGGTTAAGGTCCTCGCCTTGCATGCCCGGGATCCCATATGGGCACTGGTTCTAACCCGGCAGCCCCACTTCCCTTCCAGCTCCCTGCTGTGGCCCAGGAAAGCAGTCAAGGACGGCCCAAAGCCTTGGGACCCTGCACCCGTGTGGGAGACCTGGAAGAGGCTCCTGGCTTCAGACCAGCATAGCATCGGCCCGTTGCGCTCACTTAGGGAGTGAATCATCGGACGGAAGATCTTCCTCTTTGTCTCTCCTCTCTGTATATCCGCCTTTCCAATAAAAAAAAATAATAAAAATAAATCTTTAAAAAAATATATCTTTATAAACAAAACAAAACAAAAAAACAACTTACCTTTGGTCTGCCCTTTATTGACTGGGATATATTAGACTTCTTACTATTCTTCTCTTACAGACACAAAGTGAAGGGTAGAGAGTCTACCTGCCCTGAGCCCATGATGATATCAAGAGGCCTTTTAAGAGATGCTATGCTATTCACTGGCTTTGACAGAACCTGCAATACATCCTGTCTGAGGGCACAGATGAAATATGATATAAAAGCTACATGCACTTCTGGGTCCACAATTAGATGGTGTCTGGCAAGTGAATACCATGGAAGTTTTTTAACTACCTGGAATGTTCTCACATTCTCCTGATGAGGTATTCTTTCAATTTTATTTTGCCCTTTCTCCTTCTGCATCAATGATAAATAGGAACTTAAAACTCCACAAGTGCAATGAGGACACAAATCTGCACCAGTTATTACAGAAAAATCAACACAGTGGGGCAGGAGGAAAGCCGGGGCCACAGGGTAACAAATTGAGGTCACTCTGAAAATGAGATGCTGGCAATCCTTCTCACTATAGCTCCAACAATGGAAGTCAGGCTGAAAGAGCTTTTTAATAATTTAGTAAGACTAGAGGAAACCTGAGGACAGAGAGCTAAAAACAAGTAACTATCCTCTATTCTACGTTACTAAAATGATACCCTATTCAGAACTCTGAAGCCAAAGAGATAAAGATGAGAAACAAAGCGTTTAACCTGGATTTTTAAGGATCTTACTTCCAAGTTACTTAATCTCCACAGAACAGTTAGCATCTTAGGAGATCAAATTTAGAATACTAATCATAATCCAATACTCTGATCCCGTCTGGCACTAACAGGAGTACTTTGCCCAGGCAGGGTGCCAGCTGCAGAGCAGGGAGGAGGAGTGGTGATGGTGATAGAGCAGCTGGCAGGGCCAGCATTCAGACAAGGAAACAGAAAAAGTTTCAACTTATTAACTCAGACACGGGTCTGACTGAAACAATGGCATGAGCAGGTGAGGTCATCACCTGGCTAAAAACAGGGTGAACTAAATGAACATGGGGCTGTCTCATCCATTCCGTCTCCTTCATTCATTCAACTATAAGCACAGGAAGACAGACATGGCAGAGGCTTCCACTTACCTTTACAGCCACACTTCTTGCAGGTAGTGTTGAGAACGGCCTCAAGGGTGATCTTCTGCCCGGTGTAATCCTGGAAGGACCGCTTCCGCCTCTCTTCTTGCCTATAATGAAAAACACACTGACTCTTGGCTCTCCTAAGAGACAAAGCTAAAGATTTTACCAGGCATGTTGCTTTTGGGTTTTATTTTTGGCAGGGAGAAGAGAGAAAGGAGGAAAAGCGTTGTGCAGAATGAGATGAGCAGTAAAAGCAATGATGTGAAATAGTTTTAAAAATTCGGGACAAGGCTTTGAATCAACAGTCATGAGTCAGACTAGTCCCCATATCACTAATGCACAGCAGGTGAAGATACATACCCTATTACCCCTACCGGGTTACTCATGGGTTTTAAAGAACACCAAAGCCTTTCTAGAAAATCAAGGATATATTTCTTACTTCATCATTCAAGGACTTTGACCCTAAATCTCTAATCTACTTCTTCAGTGTCCTCTTTACTTAACACAACATGTTGTGTCCAAATAAGATGATCTCACTTTGTCCAGCAGCTCCCTCTCCCTGAAGTGCTCTGTCTCACCTCCTTACTCCCACCTTGCCACTCCTTCTGTCACTCTGCTCACTCCAGCCGGCATACATTTCTCTGATCATATCACCATATTTTTTCCTAGAATTCCAAGCGTCTGACCTAAATTGAGAATGCATAAAGTTTTTGTTCTAAGTGTACAGCTTGCTCATTGTCAGCAGTACTCAGATGAAAAAGCAGCATAGCATCAGCGGCTCAGACGCTAGTCACCTGCCTCCCCTCGGGGTAACTGCTATCCTGCCTTCTAGCAGCACAAACTGGTTTCAAATATTTTGTAAATCACATACAATAAACAGGTCATTAATCTGTATGTGGATTTCTGTTGGGGAGTAGAAGAATGTAACTGCTGGGTTTTAGGACATCAGCTTTGGGAGACGCCACCCAGTTTTCTACAGCACCTTTGATAATTTACCCTCCCACCAGCAGAATATAAATGCTCCAGTTGTCACAGCTTTTACTTTTTATCTTTTCTACAATACATGGTGCCTGCAAGGTACTCAGAAAAATGTTTAATCATCTAGGATTTTCAAATTGCTCACTAGGTCTCTAAAGTTCAGCAAGAAGAAATATTCTGCCAAACTTGGCACATTCCCAGGGAAATGGAGAATAGCTGTATAAAAGCAAAGCAAAACTAACTACCTCATATGTTAGCCAACAGCTGCAGGAGACACGTAAGCTCCTAAGGACAAACGTTTTCTATAATCTGTCCTACTCAATGAGCTTGGAACCTTTTAAAGTTCAGCTCAAAAGCCCTTCCTTGAAATGCTCCCTGCTACAGGCAGAGTTAATTAACTGCTTTGTTGTGTATTTCCACAGCATTGTACCTTGTCATCATTTTACTTTGTTCAGCTTGTTTGCTTTCACTCTCTGCATCCCAAATAAGACCTCCAGAAGTGTACTGCTGATTCTGTTGCCCAGCAGAAAGCAATGATGGAAACGCTACGAACTCTAAGTCTAGAGGGCCCAAGCATGTGTTCATGCATTTGAATGGCTGTGTGTGACTAGCAGCTACCCAACTGTACAGGACAGACAAGCATTTACATTCTTAAAATGTTAGCTTAACTTAACACTTCTGGGTTTTGCTCTGGAATAATCTCACTCAAAGGCAAGGAGTCCATTGTTTGGCATAAATTACGGAAGAAGGTCTTTCCAAAAACTACCTGAGTAACAAAGCCCAAAGCAGCAACCTTGGGACACCACTTGAACAAGTCTCAAAAACTGAATGGCATGCAGGTATCCTTACAGAGCTGAATTTTGAGTGTCTATAAGTGTAACACACAGAGTTATAAATCAATTTCAATGCTTTGTGGATTCTAACATGCCACCAAACAAATCACACTTCCCATCTCTTATTTAACAACCACTCACCCACACATGCCTCTCTTTCTTGTCCTCACTGCTACCAGGCTAGTTCAGGCTTTATCAAGTTGCACCTACAGTACTAACTATTACACTGATCAGGCTAGGTTGAATATGCCACCATTAGAGATGCCAGACCATGGGGCTGCCTGACTCTGCAATCTCCAAATGTATGCTCAAACAAATCTTTTCTTTCACAATCTCTCAGGTATTTTAGTTAAAGTAATAAAAATGCACTAATACCCTCCTCTAATATATCCGGTACATACCATCACATTAACCATTCAGTTTGACTAATGACAGGCAAATGCTAGCACTAACATTAGTAATGGAAGCAAGTATAGGAACTTAGAGGGCTACAGCCCAACAGGAGCACGCAGGTGCTGCTGTAGCATAAGCTGGCTGGCAGCTCTGTGAAAGCCATGGGCCACTAAGGACATAGGTACGTAAGTCTGGCCCAGTAAGGACAAGGAAGACATAACTGCATGTGAAAGTGAACTCCAAAGAAGTCAAGAGAAAACTGAAAGTGAGACACAGAACCAGCATGGTGGCATGGGGTTAAAGCCACTGCCTGTGACACCAGCATCCCACCCGAGTGCTGCTTTGTTTCCTTACCACTTCACTTCTGACCCGTGCCCTGCTAAAGCCTGAGAAACACACTTCAAGATGGCTGAAGAGCTTGGGCCTCCGCCACCCACGTGCGCTTCAGCTCGGCCTGGCCCTAGCCCCGGCCCCAGGGACCATCTGGGGAGTGAATCAGTGAATGGAAGATTCTCTCTTTCCTGCTCTCTCTGTAACTCTTCCAAATACATAAATTAAAAACAGCAACAAGCTATAATTCTGAAAACAGACATTGAGAGCACCAGAGCCCATCAAGGTTCTCACTGCCCCAGGGGGCAGGAATATGCTAATGATAAAACACGCACTCTTTGAGCTGCAAAGAGTCAACTCTAGCTAGCAGATTTACATCTTAAGAATAACAAGATTGGGGGAACCGTCCTGAAGGAGGGTGGCACAGAGTGGGGAAAGAATCAGGCATACAGTACGGTCTTTTATGGACCAGTGTGGTTTGAGCTTAGTGTTATGGATACAGAATATCTGCCCAGTCTATGGCCATACCACCCTGAACGCGCCCGATCTCGTCTGATCTCGGAAGCTAAGCAGGGTCGGGCCTGGTTAGTACTTGGATGGGAGAATATCTGCCCAGATGAACAACTGGAAGTAGGAAGGGGAGGTGTTCCATGCCTGGCAACACGTCCAGCTAAATGGACATAGCAGACAAGTGACCTAGGTGTGGGGAGGCATCTGAGCTCCAGTCTGATCAGCAGTGAAAGAGCCCTGATCTGTTTCATGACTTGGAGTTCACCTCAGCCTTATTCCAGAAACTTAACGGGGAGGAAGCATCGGACAATTCTTTGGGGCCCATCATTCTCCAATCTAGCTTCCTCTTTCGATCATTGGTAAACATGAGGTGGTGACAGCAGGCATGTTTCGGGGCCTTTAGCAGCTCTACTTATTCTGCCTGCCACAGCAAACGCACGAAAAACCTAGGATCTGAGAAGGGTCTTCAGTTGCATCAGCTCTCTTACTACTTGAATCACTGGCATCTTTGAGATCAAGGAGTCTTCCTAAACATGAACTTTCATGAGCTGGAGTTTTACCAGCTCAAGCCTTGGGTTTATATACATCCAGTTTGAATCTAAACCTGTGGTTGGAGCTACTCTTGTCTTGCCAGAATCCTTTTCACTGCAATTTTTCTGTTTTGTTTTGTTTTTCCCTCAAAGTCGGAGTAATTTAAGACCAACTGAACAGCTTCTTTTCCAGCCTTGAAAAGCATGTGATATTCCAGAGGAAAGGTTTTGTCATTCAGAAGCCACACATTTTCTTAGATTTCACAGTAAAGTCACAAAGAGACCTCTGCAGTTGGAAGGTGTTCTGCTGCTTCACTTCCCAAGCAGCCACAACAGCTGGGGCTAAGCTAATCTGAAGCCAGGAGTCTCTTTCAGATCTCCCAAGTGATGCAGGGTTCCAAGGCTTTGGGCTGTCCTTGACTGCTTTTCCAGGACACAGGCAGGGAACAGGAAGGGAAGTGAAGCAGCCAGGACAGAAACCAGTACCCATACGGGATCCTGGTTTATGCAGGTGAGGATTTAGCCACTAGGCCACTGCATTGGCCCAAAAGCTCCACTTCCAAACTAGCCCCTTGCTAATGCAAAAAACGAAAATGAAAATAATGGAGGATGCTCCAAGTGAAAGACCCAAATGGAGCTCCAGGATCCTGGTTTCAGCCTGTCCCAGCCCCTGCTATTGCACCAGCAGACATCTCTCTGTACATCTAACTCTGCCTTTCAAATAAATCAAAGGGAACCAAAGCTGGCACTCTGATATGGGATGTAGGTATTCCAGCTGCAAACCTAACACAAACGTCCACCCTATTACCTACACTTCATAAATGAGAAGCAGAGGTGCCAAGTAATCTGGTTAGAGTTATATGCTAATCTGAAGCAAGACGAGTCTTTCTCTCTTTCTTTAAGGAATTTATTTATTTAATGGAAAGACAGATATACAGAGAAATAGACAGAGAAAAAAAAAATCTTCCATCTACTGGTTCACTCCCCAAGTAGCTGCAATGGCCAGAGTTGAGTCAACTCGAAATCAGGAGCCAGAAACTGCTTCTGGGTTTCCCACTTGGGTGTAGGTACCCAAGGCTTTGGGCCATCCTATACTGTTTTCCTAGGCCACAAGCAGGGACCTGGATGGGAAGTGGAGCAGCCAGGATATGATCCCGGCTTATGCAAGGTGAGGATTTAGCCACTAGGCTACTACACCAGGTCCCCCTTTAAGATTATATTCCATTTTATTTGAAACGTAGAGACAGAGAGCGCAAGAGAGAGGCCTTCGATACACTGGTTCATTGTCCAAATGGCCACAGTGGCCATCAGAACTGGGCTGATCTGAAACGAGGAGCCAATAGCTTCTTCAGGGTATACCAATTGGGTACAGGGGCCCAAAAACTTGGGCCAGCCTCCAGTACTTTCCCTGGCCATAAGTAAGGGAGGTAGATTGGAAGTGGGGCATTAATAAACAAATCAGTACCCATATGGGATCCGGCCTCATCATCAGAGGCGTAGCCTACCATGTCATAACACTTGCTCTCTGATTCTAATCTAACCCTAAAACTAGTAATCATTCCTTGAAGCCATGCTCCTCTTGGATGAAGCTACAGAAACAGTTTATAATGAAAGTTACCATTTCAGCCATGTGACTGTCACTAGGAATAGCCTAAATTCAGAGACGTGCATAAATTCAGTCCTTTCCCTACTCTTTCTCTGAGAAACAGACTTAGTTCTTCTATCTTACTTGTTATATATTCCACCTCTGGAGGAGTAGCTTTGGGAAATTCTTTAATGAGTCGTGTATAGCACAAGATTCTGGAGTAGAAGAGATTTATTATAATTCAATCAACCAATGCCAGACTTAAATAACATTTCCAAAATCTGATTCCTACTGTAACTGAAAAATGTTTTGCCAATAAGCAGCACTACAGATATATCAATATTTACAGACTCAACTACAGAAATATGAAAGACTGTAAGTCACATGCGACACCTGGAAGCATGACATAGTGGAAGGGCATCAGTTTCAAAGGCTGAGATCTAGCTCCGCACCTCAGAACCACTGAATCTGTTATGTAACCACAGGCAAGTTACTTATTCCCAAGTACCAAGAAGACAGGAACGAGAAGTAAAACAGAGATTAATAACCACTTCACAGGTTATGAAAATTTTGTGTATTAATGAAGATAAACTGTCTTTCATAATACCTGATATATAGTATATAATCAATAAATATTAGTTCTCTTCCTTGTCAATAAAGTCCGTTATACACAAACCGATTTTTGTTTTTGCATAACTAGAAACCAAAGTTTCCCTGAAAACAATCGTAATATTATCCCACATAAACAGAAATCTTCCATGATACGGGCATGTAAATTCTACTGAAATTGTTGATGGCAGTCTCAACGCAGCACTTGTGATGTCATGAACATCCTTTTGTGCTATGAACCAAGCACTGTGACGGCATATGCACCTGCTACATCACAAATCTACCTTTGTGATATTATAATCAATTGTGATGTCATAAACCATTTTTTTGGATATAGTCAATTATTTTAACAAAAATACCATTGCTTGGGCCAAAACAATATTGTTACACCATAAACCTACCACTGTGTTGTCATTAATCAACCACTGTGTTGTCATAATAAATTTTGAAGTCATAAAAAAAAGTTCTAACAGAAGTAACAGAGGAAGGCAAGTCACAGCAAAGGTGTTCCGTAACTGACAATGAGCTTATGTCTCAACACACATACCGTCAGTTACAAATATGCTAAATGAAAATGCATTTACTACAACTAACATACTGGCTCATCATCACAGCTCAACTTAGCCTGCCTTATGCTCAGAACACATTAGCCTACAGCTGGGAAGAAATATTTAACAGCTTATTTTATAATAAAAAACTTAACTATTTCATATGGCCTATGGAATAGTGCATTTAAAGAGAAAAAACAGCTGAGTGGGTATGCTTCTTCACCATCAGAAAATCAAACAATTCTAAGTTGGACCGTCTGTATTTATGAATATTTATGGGTTAACTGGTACAAGATAGAAACAGATCATAAGCATAAGAGGAAGTACTCCTATGCCAGGAGATTCACATTTCAGTGTTCTATCTTCGAACTACGTGGCAACGTGCTGCCTACATTCTACATCTCTAGAAAGCACAGGTCACTGTCGGAGTCCAGCTCCAGCTGAGTTCGGAACTCAAGAAGGGTGTGTGGACGAGGTGTAAAGAGAAATGAAATGGACCACTACAATTCCATGATCATCGTGGACAATGCACAACAGCTGTCTGCTTTATTTATACAGAACCAGTCAAACTCTGGCTCAGGCTTTTTACGTCATGGTCAAGTGGGCGTTTCTAAGGATAATTCTGGCGTTTGTTTCACCTTAAAGCAGGTTGTTATCCATCCTTACCCTGTGGTCAGGAAGTTCTCAATAAATGGTGCATATCAATCAGTAACACATTCCTACTACAGTCCTCATTCTACAACTTAATTTTGAATCAGTTAAGGGAGGAAATGCATCACTGAAGGAAGGACTAAAGATCAAAGAAAGAGGGAAAGAATAGATTTCCACTACACCTACCGACTTTACACCCTTGATCAGCATATGGTCAATGGCGGAGGAGAATCCTAAGCATAGGTTCCTGCTAACCCTTGATTAACATAGGATCACTGGGGGACTTAACACCCTTGATCAGCGTATGGTCAATGGGGGCAACCGAGACAGCAATAATGAAAGGTCTTTTGGCTAAAATGGTATTAGCAACATCAACTTCCAAGCTCACATTGATACTAAACATTAACTCTGCAGAGGCAGACAATGCCTAAATAAATTATAGAAATCTTAGCGGGGTTGTCAGATGTCCATGCAAAGGGAGGTGGAGCTGCATTCAGGTGGTCGTAGAGACATCCGCCGGGCCCTGCCAAACAGTGGGAAGCTCCTTGCAGCCCTGGCTGCAATGGAACAGTTCTCTTCACACCTTCCTGTCTTCCACATCCATCACATGGACCCCAGCAAGTCATAGCAGTTTCATAACTCAACAATGTCACAGAGTCTAAACTGGCAGAGTCCCCACTCCGGCCTGGTTTACTACAACACTCCACACTTTAGGAGACAGAGAAATTTAACTTATCCAAAACCTTTTACCTACTCAATGATAACGTTGTTGGGATCCAGATCTTTCCCAGTCCCCTGGTTAACAACTTTCATGGAGAGAGACACTTTTACCCTGTCATTTTTCATCTGCAAAAGACAAAGCAAAGTCATCAAAAGCTTAAATCATTTATACTGCTAGTCTGGAATTATCTAAAAATTGAAACTTACATCTACATGGAGCCCTTCAGAGACACAAGCAGAAGCTATGGCAGAGGAATTTAGAAAACGGCTTATATTTTTTTCTTCTGGCTAGTCCTCAGGTCAGAGATCCACAGGACTAAGCTGTGTTCTAGAGACCAGATCTCCTTTCGGACAGCTCTCTCAACATGCAGACATGTGAGCTCCATTAGCCTTCCTTGCTTCCCACAGCCCCACTTCACTTCTGCTCTTTGCATCAACAATCTATCTGCCCAATATGTTCCAATTAGAACTCTTCACTTGGCTACTTACTCTTTCTTTGGGTCTCTGCTCAAATACTGCCTTTTTAAAAAAAAATTCATCTGGGCCTGGCATAGTTGCCTGGTGGCTAAAGTCTTTGCCTTGCATAATTCAGGATCCCATGTGGCTGCTGGTTTGTATCCCAGCTGCTCCAATTCCCTTCCAGCTCCCTGCTTGTGGCCTGGAAAAGCAGTAGAGAATGGCCTAATGCCTTGGGAACCTGCACCCATGTGGGAGACAGAAGAAACCCCTGGCTCCTGGCTTCGGACAGGCACAGATCTGACCATTGCAACCACTTGGGGTCTGAATCAATGGATGGAAGATCATTCTGTCTCTCCTTCTCTGTAAATCTGACTTTCCAATAAAAATAAACAAATCTTTTTTTTTTTTTTAAGATTTATTTTTATTATTTTTTCATTGGAAAGGCGGATATACAGATAGGAGAGACAGAGAGGAAGATCTTCCGTCCGATGATTCACTCCCTAAGTGAGTGCAACAGGCCGATACTATGCCGATCCGAAGCCAGGAGCCTCCTCCAGGTCTCCCACGCAGGTGCAGGGTCCCAAAGCTTTGGGCCATCCTCGACTGCCTTCCCAGGCCACAGGCAGGGAGCTGGAAGGGAAGCAGGGCTGCCGGGATTAGAACCGGCGCCCATATGGGATCCCGGGCGTGCAAGGCGAGGACCTTTAACCACTTGCGCCACCGTGCCGGGCCCGATAAACAAATCTTTAAAAAAAATGAGCAATTAAAAAAAACCTGTTTCCATTCATATTTTATATAAGGTTCATAATAACCAGGAACATTCATTCATGTCTTGTTAGTGCTCTCTCTCTTTTTCTTAAATTTCATTTATTTGAGAGATAGTTATAGAGAGAGAGGAGGGAGAAACAGAGAAAAAGAGCAAACATCCACCTGCTGGTTCAATCTCCAAGCAACTGCAATGGTATGGGGCTGGGCCAGGAAAACCCAGGAGCTTCATCTAATTCTCCCACATGGGTGCAGGGGCCCAAGCACTTGACCCATCTTACTCCAAAACAGGTTGTAGTGGAACTTGAACTGGCACCCATGTGGTTACTAGTGCTACAGCTAGATGTTAAATTCTATGCATCTTTTTTGTTCTAGCACAAATTCAAGACTACCTAGTAGGTATTTTTTTGAAGTTCGTAATAAACAGTAAGCACATAGATGATTTTTCTCTTTTGGGTTCTTTTCTTTCTTTGTATCCTCCCTATATTCCATATGGGTAAACTTCAGAGAACATCCACTTACTGCCCCACAGTTCTGTAGTTCATATCATTCTCTCTGAGTTTGTAGGGCAGACAGAAGGATTACATCCAAGACAGTTTTAAAAATAAAGTTATCGAGGCTGGTGCCATGATGTAGTAGGCTATAGGACAAGCACCCCATATGGGTTACAGTACGTATCTCAGATGCTGTACTTCCGGACCAGCTCACTGTTTATGATCCGGGAAAGCAAAGACGGCCACATCCTTGGATCCCTGCACCCAAGTGGGAGACCCTCCAGAAGCTCCTGGTTTCAGATGAGCCCAAGTCATCAGCCACTGCAGCAATCAGGGAGCAACCAACCCGTGGATGGAAGATCTTTCTCTCTGTTTATTCTTCTAACTCTGCTTTTCAAATACAAATAAAATATATCTTTAAAATAAAAATAAAGTTACCAGCCATAACTAACAACTTCTACACACATATTCTCATAAAACATCAAATAAAATCCAGTGTTTTAACTTGGTAACAACATAAAAGCTACACAGAACTTTACCTCTCGACCAATAAGCTTCACCCACACTTTGTCTCCGACATCTACAATCTCAGAGGGCTTATCCACTCGACAGGATGACATGTGAGATCGATGCACCAGACCTGCACACAAGAGGGAGAAATAAAGCAAAGGACGTCTCTGGTATATGTACTGCAAATGGCTAGATGAGGAGAAGCAAAATAGGAAGTTGTCATAGAAACGTGAATTCTGGGCCCACCGCAGTAATCTAGTGGCCAAATCCTCACTTTACATGTGCCAGGATCCAATATGGGTGCTGGTAATCCCAGCTGCTCCACTTCCCTTTCAGCTTCCTGCTGTGGCGTGGGAAAGCTGTACAGGATGGCCCAAAGCCTTGGGAGCCTGCACCCAAGTGGGAAACCCAGAAGCAGTTTCTAGCTCCTGGCTTTGGATTGACTCAACTCTGCCCACTGCAGCTACTTGGGGAGTGAACCAGTGATCAGAAGATCTTTTACTCTGTCTGTCTTTTTCTCTGTAAATCTGCCTTTCAAATAAATAAATAAATCCTTTATAAAAAGTTGATTTTTCACTGAAAAATGTTTGCTAATTTAAAATTGCAAATGAAAAGTCCAGAATATTTTATACATAACTACCCACTAAATATTCTTTTTTTTAAAAGAAATTTATTTTTATTGGAAAGGCAGATCTACAAAGAGGACAGAAAGATTTTTTCTGCCTACTGGTTCACTCTCCAAATGGCTGGAGTTCAGCCAATCCAAAGTCGGGAGCCAGGAGCTTCCTCTGGGCCCCCATGCAGTACAGCATCCCAAGGCTTTGGGCCATCCTCCACTGCTTTCCCGTGCCATAATCAGGGAACTGGATGGGAAGCAGAGCAGCCGGGAAACAAACCGGCGCCCATATGGGATCCTGGCCTGCAAGAGATTAGCCAATCGAGTCATCATGCCAGGCCCAACACTAAAACAACGTTCATGAGTAGTAACGACATAACAAAAAAGCTACATCATGGACACCAGCAGCGACACAGACTAATATGATTCTTGGAAAGAAAACACATGAAATTTCCATCATCACTGGAATTCTTTTCAAACAGAAAAACTCAACAGTGGCAAAAATCCATGGACATAAAATACTTACAATATTAGTATATAAAGATTAAAAAATAAGTGTAATATAGTCTAAATGATCAACAATTGCAAAGAAAATTGGCAAACAATGACAAATTTGAAAAGTGAATAGCTATTTAAATTCTAGTTACAGAAATTAGTGACACATGCTAAATGAAAGCAGGAAATATAAAGAAAGTGTTTTCAGAAAACTACCATGCCCAATAGCAGCCAAAGTAATAAGCACTACTAAAGCTCTAAGAAACTTTGGGAAGTCACGAAGCAATGGCTATCAAAACAGATAAAAATATTGATTTAACTTAACAAACTTTAAGTTGCAAGAAATAATTTCATAACAACATTTAAGAAAATATATACATATTTTTAAAGATTTATTTATTTTTATTGGAAAGTCAGATATATAAAGAGGAGACAAGAGAGAAAGATCTTCCATCTGCTGATTCACTCCCCCAAATGACTACAATGGCCACAGCTGAACTGATCTGAAGCCAGGAGCCAGGAGCCTCTTCCAGGTTTCCCATGAGGGTGTAGGGTCCCAAGGATTTGGGCTGTCCTCAACTGCTTTCCTAGGACAGAGGCAGGGGGCTGGATGGGAGAGAGGCTGCCAGGACACGAACCGGAGCATGCAAAGCAAGGACTAGGTCACTAGGCTACTGTGCCAGGCCCTAAGAAAATATTTAAGACATTCTTTCTTGTGATTCCAAGATCTCTCCCTTTTGAGGAATGCCTACTTTAAACATTCTAAAATAATCCGGTGTGTTCTGTGATTGGCAAAAAATATACGAAGAATTATTAACTACAAAAATCTGACACTGCACATCTCTACCACTAGATGGCGAGTCTGCCAGAGGAAGCAAAGGAGACCAGGAAAAGACAAAGGCCTCAACAAGCTGCCTAAGACAGGGCTGAAGGCCCCAGTGAGATTGGTCAAAATGTTTTAATTATATTTCTGACACTTGCATTAATTATATAGTTAATAATTTGGTCCATGCTTGGGAATCTTACCTTTGAAAACAGTATTATACACAGAAAAAACATACATGCGTCATAAAAACTGACCTACATCAAAATACTCAATGGGACTGGTACTATGGTATAGCAGGTAAAAACTGCTGCCTGAGCAACTCAGAACTGTTGAATTATCAAAACCACTTGAGCAAGACCCTCGGCGCATGCCTCACATCGGGGACCTGGGGTGGGTGGGAGACTGGGTGGGGCTTCTCCCTTAAAATCCCCCTTTAGCTCAGATACATGAAGGAAACAATGTGGAACAAATAGTCTTATCCATCTTCCTTTAATCTTTTTATCCCAATTAACTATGTAAAGACTGTCAAAAATATAATTAAAAATGGGGGAAAAACCTGCTGCCTGATATGCTGGCATTCCACAAGGATGCCACTTGGTTTCCTGGCTGCTCCACTTCTGACCAAGCTCCCTGAAATGGTCTGGGAAGAGTGGAAGAGATGACCCAAGCACCTGAGCCACTCCCATCCACATACAAGACTCAGAAGAAGCTCCTGGCTCCTGATTACTAGAGCTGCGGTCACTGGAGCCATGTGGGAAGTGAACCAGTACACAGATTTCTCCCCAGCCACAGACAACTGCCTCGGTTGATCTATACCTAGGAAAATGCTACACTGCTAGGAGAAAAGCAGCCAACAGCTGACGGGCATCCTGGACCTGGTTAGGGCCAAATCAGTGTTAACCATGCAACTGTGCCAGTACTGTTGCCTATTGTTTTGTTTTGGTTTTAAAGATATGCAGGGAACTCTGTGGCACCAGGTCGGCACAATACTCTGGAGCCCAGGCACACTGCATGCTACCACGTAGCTAGGCAGAAACTATCAATTACCCAGGGAAGGCTGTCTGGGGACATATTAGATTGGGGATCTCAGAGGGCATGTTTGACGGGAGAGCAGTGACTTCTGGGGGCTTCCACTGCACTAGCAGGTAGCCAGAGCTGAGACGAGGTGGTTGGCAGGGAGAAACCAGATTGCATGTCTGAGTCAGAAGGCACCCACCTACGTGAGAGACCTAGGCTAGGATAGCTAGGGCTGGTGGGCATGCCTGGCTGGGCCACAGTACCTGTCTGCGAATGTCAGGGCAGTGGGTAGGCACAGGAGGCACCCACTTGGGGCAGATACTGTAGGGGACTTGTGGGGTCACCTCTGTGAGACTGAGAGCTTGGGATAGTGATCGGCTGAGCCAGGCTGCAGCACACACTAGAACAAGCAATGGTTGGAACAGAGTGCATACCACAAAGGCAGGGCCGCAGCACACATGAGAAGCAGGGCTGAGAGCTGGCCTGGTAGGGAAACTTGGGGAATTGGCCTGCTAGACTGCACTTCCCGCTGAGGAGCACAACAGCTGGGACCACAACACTCACCAGAGTTTGTGCGGCCCAGTCTTGAGAGGCAGGGTAGGCTGGGGCAGGACGCAGCACCCACTGACGCACACCAGAGCCAGGATGCATTGTTGGCCATTCCAGGCTAGGCTAAGCTGCAACACCCACTGAGAAGAGCTGAGAACTGGGATGGGGGGATGGAGAAGGGGGAGCTGGTCTGGGTAGCACTATAGCACCGGTTGGCCAGCATATGGGCTGAATCAAGGGTGGGCCAGGCTAGTCTAAGCTGCCGCACCTGCTAGTGTGCACAACAGCCTGAATGGTGCAGACCAGCAGGGCCAGGTCACAGAGCAGCTGGCAAGGGCTGGGATTGGATGCAAGTCATGTCGGTTTGGACTATGGCACCCACTGGCAAGCACCAGAGACTGGGAGCAGGCCTGATATGCGAACTGTGGGCACTCCCCTATCAAGCTACAGCTCCCACCGATGAGCATAAGAGCCAGGACTGGGAGTGGGGCAGATTAAGCTACGCTGCAGCACCCATGGATGCGCATAAGAGCCGGATGGTATGTAGTATTGCCTGGGCTAGGCTCCAACACATGCCAGCATGCACAAAAACTAGGGACTGGGGTGGGCCTGGCGGGGGTTATCGGGGGTTGCCCAACTAGATCACAGCACCTGTTGGTGTGCATGAGGCCCTGGCCTGTGGCACATGGAGCTAGGCTAGAACGCAGCACCTGTCAGTTCACATGAGATGGGACAGGGACAAAACTGATCAGGCAGATGCATCCACTGGTATGTGTGTTGGCTGGTGCAGGTGATGGACCAAACATGACCCTATACAGGCTGGCACACACAAGAGTCAAGTCTGAGGTTACCCAGGCAAGGTTTCTTGGGGGACTCCCAAACTAGATTTCTGGACTCAAACCTCAGCCTCAGGCAAAATCACCATATCCGTGGTCGGACCTTGCAGTGCATGTATTGGGACCGGGCCTCCTCAGTTGTTGATGCCCAGGTAGTGGACGGCATACCCAAACAGCCAGTTCATCCAGACCAGCAGAGGACATGGAGCGCCTTGTCAGAGGATGCAGAGCAGAACAGGTTTGGTCACCCTGCTGGCCAAGCTTTGCAGCAAGTGTCTGAGTGTGTAGGTATACTGAAGTAGACTTGTCAGCCAATAAACTTTGCAAATATTTTCTCAACCCTGCTGCAACAAAGCTGAGAACGTCTCAGAACCATCTAAACCACTCAAGTGACACCCTCAGAACATTCTTCCCCAAATCAGGGTCTCTAAGGCGTCATCACGTGACAGTCTCACATTCCCTGGTGCTACATAGTTTGACAGCAAGGAACAATCCTCTCTGCCACCAGAAAATAAGGGGGGGGGGGGGGGAAGAAAGGAACTAGAACATTCTCCTACCCATGTTCCTCCACACCCGACCCTCCTCACCCTAACCAGAGGCTCCCCTGAGAAAAAGACAGAAAAACAGCTGTCATGTGTTGGTTCTTTCTCCAAATGGCTCCAACAGCCAGGGCTGGGCCAGCCTCAAGCCAGAACCTGGAGTCTATCCAGTTCTCCCACGTGGTGGCTGGGTGCTCGGGCCACCTTCCACTGCCTTCTCAGGCCCACTATAGGGAGATGACCAGAAGTCGA